GGGTCAGTGGGGGTCAGTAAAGCAACTTCTTTCCTTGTAAAGCTCTGTTGAAAATTCTGTAAAACTCCCTCATTTAATTCCTGTGACATATTTTATGTATTCTTTAACAAACACAGAGCAAAGCCATTGATTAGGGAGAGGCAAGGCATACAGACACAACTAACAAAACAGTTTCAGACTCACACAGCAGAAAGACCAGCTTGTAACCACAAACTACAGGCAGACTCAGGGAGAGAAATGAAGAATTTCAATGTGGGCTTGTTCTTGGTTAAATTAATCTAAGAGGACACTGCTTTGGTTTCATTGCTTAGTGTGACATTGATGCATTTTAGTACCTCTGGGGTTATCTTGAATGTGGTAATTGATGCACATCTTCATAAGGGAACATTATCTTCCCAAGCAAGATAACCAGGTTTTAGTTAATAAAAGACAATACATGTGGCATATACCTGTAATCCCCAGCACTGGGGAGGCTGAGGCAGGAAGATCGCCGTGAGTTTGAGACCTGCTGGTCTACTCAAAAAAGACTAGTGGGCATGTCTATAGAAAGTAATCTGCACACCAAATTAAATAAGGGGAGCATTTATCACCAAGGATGGCTCCCGTTGTGACAATGGTGACAGGGAACACACCAGGCTTAACTTGGACCTGTTGGGGGAAAACAAGCTTTATCAGTATTTCCCTGAAACCTGTCTTAATGACTGTCTACAGTCTGCAGAAAGCACCTGGCACTGTGAATGATATCTATCTCTTGTTGGTAGCTTCCTGCTGGCTTGGGGTTTCCATGTTGTGTTAATTCTGTGAGGTTTCTTTGTTTTGTTTTGTTTTGTTTTGCATGAGAGGTGCCAACCTCCATCAGCATTCTCTGCAGACAGTGACCACGCAGAACAGACCAGGCAGGATCAGGCTTTACATCTCACACACTCAGGGTTTTTTGCTGTGCTGAGCATGTCTTCCACTGGGAGATCAATGGCTGTGCAGCTCATCCAAATGGCTGGTGTGTGTTTCTGAGGCAGACAAGCCTCTATTCTTACTGATCACAGACCAGGCTGCTGGAATGTATTAAAGAGAGAGCCCCCTCCTTCTTCTTGCCAAACTTACTGTCTTCCAGAAATGAAGAGTGAAGAGTCTACCCTCCTTCTGTTCTGGAACAAAGAATGCTTGTGTCCTGGGGGACCTTCAATATCTTACTTCCTGGAATATAAAGAATTTTCAGGGACTGTTTTTGGTCAGTTGTCAGTTTCAGAAGCAAAGTAAGGACTTATGGTTTAAAATAGCTACATGTAAGGGAGAGGAGGTCACTGCAGCATCCTGATCTTGCAGACGGTCCTTTTTGGAGTTGGACCCAATGCCAAGTCTCACTGGCTTACTTTTCTTTAGTGCATATGGTCTTAACATGTAAACAGGTTTGTAAATGCTGCAATGTTTCCTTTAGCTACAGTCATCCTTAATGCTATTGAAAATGATCATCTTTTTAAAGTTTACAATGTTATGGTACCTGACAGTAGTAGCATCGTGGTAGAAAGGGGTTACCTCAATGCCTATAGGAGACCATGGAGATTCCAGCCCATATTCTGTTCCTATTGCACACAGATAACCAAGCAGCCTGTAGGAGGCAGCAGAGCTCCAAGTAAAACCTATGCCTCTGCAGGTGTTCTCAGGCTCACTGTCCCCTTCTCCTAGGTGCCCCTGTAGCAGCATCCAGCCTTCCCTCTGCTTAGAGGACCACTTCCTTGACTCGTTACCAAAGTGGGACACTCTGTGGTCCAGCCCCCTGCACTCCAATAGACTTTCCTCAACCCCACCTCTCCCACACTGGAAGCCTTCCTGATAGACCTAGCACCATGGCATGTAGCCTCACAGTAGGACCTGCTGTTGTCTTACAGCCAGGTATGCCCATGTCATGGCAAGAATACCTTGGGTCTCTTGGATGTCCCAATCCCTGTGAGGCTTAAAAAGTAAATGCCTGAAATGGAAAGAACATGCAAGTGTGTACAGCATTATCTGTGCATGTGCAGGTGTGTGTGTGTGTGTGTGTGTGTGTGTGTGTGTGTGTGTGTAAGCACATGTGTGTATACGCCAGGGAATAGACTTGGATGTTGTTTCTCTGGTACCAGCCACATTTTTGTTGCTGGTTGCTTTTGAGGCATGGTCTCCCTTTTCCCAGGAGCTTGCTTATTAGTCCAGGAGCACTTTCTAGTGATCCACCTGTCTCAGATTTTATTTTAGTTTTTCAGTTCAGGGATTGAACTTGGGTCCTTATGCTCACAGCTGAGCCTTCTTCAGCCCCTTCAGGGACATAATATCTAGGAACATAGTTACTAATTTGTTTGCTTCAATGTTACATGGCTTTAGCATTCTTCCTGACTAAAGAGAAAGATGGGGATGTTTGGTGCAAGGAAGACATCATTAGCTTTTGTGGCCCTGGTGTATGGTATACCTTGACTTTTCTCCTCTTTGATGGGTTTCTTCATCAAATTAACTTCTCAGCCTCTGTTTTCTTGCCCATAAAGTGGGGTTAACTAATGTGATTGTATGATTTCTTGTCCAAACTAGAAAGGCATTTTGAAGTGAAAGGCATTACAGGAAAGCAGTGATAGACACTACAGTGTTAAGGGCAGTTTTGTGCAGAGACTACTAAGATGTGGGGCATGGAGGAAGGCTCAGAATGAGGCTGGACTCAATTGTGAACACGACAAACAAGATGCAAACCCACAGAGCATATGTGTTCACTGAATGGAACATTGGGATTCAGGGAGACTCCTGTTGAACAGACCTGATGGGATGCTTTGTGTACCTGTCCATGTAGGTACACATGTATGCAGGTACATGTGCATGTGTGTATGCATGTAGAGACCAGGGGACCACGTCAGTGTCATTTCTCGGGTGCTATCAAGCTGTTTTTAGTGGCGGGTGTCTCACTGCCCTAAACTTAATAAGTAGATGAGGGCAGCAAGCCACAGAGCGAGCCTCCTCTGCTTCCCTGGCTCTGGAATTGCATGCGTATTTGAAATTATACTTTTGGAGGAGAGAGGGTGCTCTGGTAATTGAACTCAATCCTTGGACTTGCACTGCAAGTGCTTTGCCTACTAAGTCACCACCCTAGTCTCCAACCTAATTGGGTTTCTGCTGAAAGGAAGCTAGGCTAAGGTGGCTGAGGGAGGGGAAAGGAATCAGTATATCAAGGGTGATTGGGTGGGGCAGAGAGGGATATTCTCTAAACTGACCCAGCAGCATTCTTGCTATAACAGGGGTGCAAGCCAATCATGAACACCAAGCCAGGGTGTGTGTGTGTGGCTTAGACCTGATAAAGCTTAGTCTGTGGAGGAGGAGCTGGACATGCAGCTTAGTGGCAGAGTACTGTGTGAGACCTAGAATTCACCTCAGGCACTGCCAAAAAGTAGTCTCCATCACAGTTAGCTAGCTAGGACAACAAGTCCAAATGTCCTGGTGCATGGTAAGGTGACTGAATGAAAATGAGGACATGATCGCCCCAAGGTATGATTAAAGAGAAGGTTTTTATTGTAGAGACGAGGGGAAAAAAATGGCCAGAGGCATCTAGAAGGGTCCAGACTGAGCGTGGCCAGCAGAACAGACTGGGCCATGAGAGGAGAGGGTGGGGGTAGAGAAGGGAGGAGAGGAGGACCAAGGACCAAGAGGACCAAGAAGGCCCATGGGAACCAAGAAGGCCCACAGCCAGAACACTGAGCTACATAGGAATCAGAAACTGAGGGAAGGGAAGCCAAGCCCAGCCTCTGGGAGAGGGTGGTGAGAAATGCTGGGAGGAGCCATGCATATTGTGTGAAACATGCCTGTTTAGAGAAGCCTGGAAAAAATGATTCTGAACCTTTTCATCATAAAGAAAAACAGAAGTTAGAAGGAGGCCGGGGACATGACCGTGCACTTTTCAAGCGTTCACAGGGTCTTCAATTCTAGCCCCAGCATTTTGGAGAAAAAAAGAGTTTGAGGGCCAACTACAATGTACACATCTGTTGACTGGACACTCAGTGTCTCAGTAATAAGCTTGACTTTACGCATTGTTTAAATTATTTCAAGTAAAGTACATTTTTTTTAACATTTGTCTTTTGATCTGATTAATTTTATTTAATTTTGGTTTCTAAGAAGTAGTTCTATTAAAATGATTTTTAAATAAAACTTCTTCCACAATAAGAAAGTAGTGTGTATAGTACGAATGCAAAACCAATAGGATTCTGGGATGACAGGTGTGAAACACGGTGCTTCAATGAATCAAGTAGAAGTGAGGCAAAGCAGAACTGACCAGAATTAACCAACTGAGGCCTGTGGTATTTTAGAAGCCACAAAGGAAGATAAGCTCCTGAAGTTCCATATTCTCATACTTGGGCATTAATCACTCAGAGATGGAGACAGATGTGAGGACACCATGCACTGGAGCAGAGGGTGAGGCATTGGTCCAGCACTCATGTGAGTCCAGAGTTCCTCTCTGGACTTGTTTCTTGGCCACTTGCCTGGGAATCTGGGACCAGCCCTGTTACCCTTCTTATGCTCCCATGAAAGGGCCTGCTTTTAGCAACTGTGTTTAAATAATGGTTTTTACCATTATTTTAAATATGGCTTTACCATAAGCTTACTGGTCTGAGCTGTAAAATGCACACTTGCTGTGATGGTCAGTGTCCTCCCAATGCCAGCAGCTTAGTAGGTTCACCTTGATGGGCTCCAAGGTTAGATGCATCCATTCACCAGCTATAAACCCATCTTCTAAGTGCAGTTTTGCCACAATAAGGGCTCCCTGATATGTATGTTCATCTGAACTAAAGATACACCCTGTGCAAGTTTGGGGTTTTGCCGACGACGAGTGAGGCAGAGAGTTCAGGGTTTGGCCTACAGATGCCTGGAAGTGGGATCTTTGTACCTTAAACAATAATGTTGGTATTTGAGAGAGTCAAGCCAGAGCAGAGAGAGGTGAGTGCATCCCTCTATCCATCAGCATAGCTTCTCATAGCCTCTTCTTTCTCCAGGTATGTGTACATTCCACTGGGTGGGTCCCAGCATGGCCTGCTGGGGACACTGCTCTCTACTGCAATGACATTTGCATTTGTGAGCTACTGGCATGGCAGCTATGAGGACCTCTGGTGCTGGGCAGCGCTCAACTGGCTAGGAGTCACCGTGGAGAGTGGAGCCCAGAGGCTGCTGGAGAGGCCCTGTGTCCGGGAGACCTTGGTGAGCAGGATCCATCACTGCCGGTGTGGTAGGGTGTGGTAGGGTGTGGTAGGGGACAGCTGAGCAAGGAGAAACTAGTTTGGCTGGGATGGTGGTCACCAGATTCACTTAAAATGAGCAGTTCTTGCCAGGCAATTTCAAAGTCTATGTGTCTCTAGGAAGTGTGAATAGGGATAGGGGTGGGGAGGCCTCAAAACCATTGATTACCTGAGTGGTTGGTTGGTTGGTTGGATGGATGGACAAATGGATACATGAATGGTTTTATAACTATAAAAGTCTAGGCATTTATTATAGATAAATTTAAAAATCCAGATAAGAGTAAATAATTTAAAAATTGACAATAAAACTTACTCCTCTAAGCATGTTCTGTGTGTACATGATCCGCATATGCGTACACGCTCTGCATAGCTACTTACAGCGATTGCCATGGTGGTGTTTGTACATGCACACTCAGCACAACCATTTACAGTGAATGCTGTGGTGGTGCTTCAACCACCTCTCCAAGCCAGCAGACCTGTGTAGAGCCCTTATGTGGATACTTCATAATTTGTTTAATTACAAATATTTCATTATAAATCGATACGGATCTCATAGTCAGGATGAGGTCCCCTGAGTAAAACTGTCAGGTTAAAGGGTCTTCTCATGTTCACGGCTCACTGCATAACAGCACTTACCAGCCTGTAGACAAGGCATCAAGTTCCCATCCTCCCAGATGCCCTTGCCAGTCCTGAGTGATGCTGGCATTTTCAATTTTGATAGATGCTGTTGGTGCCAGCTTAGCAGACAGTTGAGGGATAAAGCTGCATTCTGCATCTATAGGTATGACTGGGAAATTAATTGTACACTCCCCTCTGTAGCTATCTTAAGCACCACACATATATTTTGCCTTGTAAATGTGGCAGCTGATACATGAAAATCTCATAGGGAATCAGTGTTTCTGAATGTGAACAGTGCTCTGCCAACCCAAAGAATGGCCCAAAAGGAAATGTGTCAGTGTGTGCTCTCATGGCAGGTTGTAAAATGCCAGAGATTCCACTGGAAAAAAATGATTAATGGGGATAAACTCTACCCAGTGCATGAGGCTAAAGCAAATACATCTTACACACCATTGAGACAGAAATGAAGGCACTGATGCATGTTTCAAAAAGATAGCCTCACATAGACGGGTGGTTATCTCAGCAAAAACTGACACAGAGATCACACAGCAAAAGCAGCATTTATATGGAGGTAAACAACCATCTGGAACTTCAGTTCCAGGGGGATCTGATGCCATCATCTTCTGGCTTCTGAGGGTACTTCACTCACATGCACAGACCCACACACACAGGCACACAACAAAAATTAAAATAAATCTTAAAAAAAAAAGATAAAGGTTTTATTCAATAGTGGTACTCAGCAACCAGAAGGCAAGGGATGTCTATAAAGTCTATGGAAAATAGTGAAAGCTATGGAAACACGGTGCAGAATGTCATACAAGGCTGTGTCTTATGGGTGTTTTCATTCTCAAGATGGAATGCTCGTCCTCAAATCCTGGGGACGTCCCATGAAGTCCAGAGAGTTCTTTCCTAGTCAGCTTCAGGTACTCTGTCTCCATGTTCCTTCAGGAAGGCACTGATATTAACCCTGAACAGAATATGAGGCAGGGTTCTGAGTCACAAACTGACGGAGTTGAACTATTAAGGGAGTAACCCAACTGTTCTATGTGACTTGTTGCTGATTAAATTGGGTTGGGAATAAACCAAAGAGGAAAGCTCACTCACTGAAAGCTCATGGGCACAGGGTTTGCCACTTTGTAGATTGCTGACCTGACCCCAAGGCCCTCCTGTACTTATGGCATTTGACTTTACACCCACAATTCAGGCACGCAAGTGCACAATAACTTTAGATACATTTTGGTGAAATAACTCTCTTATATATTACAAATATATTAAATTTAGTATTTTTAAAAATATATTTTATAAAGCTTTTTTTAAAGCATCAGCTCTCTTTTGTCCTGGAAGCCTGGGTGGTGTTTGTATTAATTTTCTTATTGTTGTGGAACAAACTTGAGGAAGAAAGGTTGTTTCATCTCACAGTTCAAGGGATCCATCATGGAGAATAAGGCTGTTTTCATTGCATCTGCTTGCTGCCTGGACACTGAGAGAAGAGGATTGTTTCTCTCAATTCATCTCTCCTTTACATTTTAGTCTGGGGTCCCAGTCTATAAGATGACGACCTCTCGTGTGCAGGATGGGTCTTCTCACCTTAGTCAACCCAGTGGAATCTCCCTCAAGATGAGCACAGAGGTTTGTCTTCCAGGGGATTCTATTGTCAGGTTGACAGCCCAAGTCAGCCACCATAGTGTTGCTGGCTGTTCAGACTCTTTCTTGAGCACCGGGTGAGTGTCTGATGATCACTTAGGTCCCGTTGTTTATCTCAGTATCTGTGTTGGCCTGGGGTTGTCAGTGTACAATCAATACCATTCTTAGCTCTTCTTTGTCTTACTCCAGAGTCCCTCTCCCTTTCATCTCTCTTACAATTTAGCAGAGAATCTGTTTTCCTTTGACATCTCAAATGCACACAACTGGAATTTTAAAATAACACATTTGCTATCATTGGGGTGGGGGTGCATGTGTGGAGGCCAGAGGAAAACTTTGTGTGGAGTTGGTTCTCTCTTTCTGCCTTTTCATGGTTTCCTGTGATAGAACTCGGCTGCCTGGCTTGTGCTGCAAGACCTTTTCCCACCCAGCTATCTCACAGGCTCTCTCAGCTTTTGCATGGACTCTAACCCTGTTAGCCTCCTCTTCTTCTCTTTCCATGATTTCATCCTCTCTCCTGTCTCTTTGTAAAAATCCAAATAAAGACCTGACATCCCTCTTGGCACTTGGTTTCATAGGACTTTAATCTCTCTGGTTTATCTGTTAGTTTTTTTTTTTTTTTTTTTTCACAGTGAGTTCACTCCCTTCCTTGCTTTGGGGTTTTCTAGAAAAACAGAACTCTGTGTGTGTGTGTGTGTGTGTGTGTGTGTGTGTATTAGGGTAGGAAGTTAGGTCATGTGGTTATGGAGGCTGAGCAATCCAGACCTGGGAGAGCTGATGGTATAAGTTCTAGATGGTTTCAGAACACAGGAGATCTGTATTAATCAGACCAAACTCAAGCATAGGGATGTTCCCTTGGCCTTAGTATTTAAACCCTGACTTTCAGTAGACTGGATGAGCCTGGAATATACTGGAGAGTGTAGTACCCTTTCTTTGGAACATAGAGTCCAATGTCCATGTCATCCAGAGACACTCTTGTTACAGACACAGCTGTAAATGATGCTTAACTAAATATGTTGTGGTCCAATCCAGTTGACAAAACTAACCAACATACCTGTTTAGCTTTTTTTTCCTCTCATGGTGACAATTTTCAATATAGATTGACAGGTCTCTACAAACAGGGTTCCTTCTCTTTCCATTCCACCTTCAGACACAGGGCCTTAGTTGGGTTTCAGAATCACAGGATTTCTTAGTCTGGCTGACTGACAGCTGGACATTCTCCAGAAGACCACCACAGAAGAGCATTATGAACAGGAAGCCCCAGAGTTTCTGTAAGAGGATTCTCTGACCACTTCCTGAGGTGATAGATGTGGCCACCATGGTAACACACATGTCGCCAGTTACACAAGGCACTCCAAATGTGGCTAGTGCCAATGAGACACTGAATTAGGACTTATTTCATTTTAAAACACTTAAAATGATTTTGTTATTTTATGTATATGGGTGTTTTTCCTTGTCTTAGTTAGGCTCTGTATTGCTGTGACAAAACACCATGACCAAAAAGCAAGTTGGGGAGAAAATGGCTTATTTGGCTTACACTTCTGTATCACTGTTCATCATTGAAGGAAGTCAGGACAGGAACTCAAACAGGTCTAGAACCTGGAGGCAGGAGCTGATGCAGAAGCCATGGATTGGTGCTGCTAACTAGCTTGCTCCTCATGGCTTGCTCAGCCTTTCTTACAGAACCTATACCCATCAGCCCAGAGATAGCACCAGTCATAACGGGCTGGGCCCTCCCACTAATTGAGAAAATACCTTACAGTTGGATCTTATGGAGGCATTTTCCTAATTGGGGTTCCCGTCATTAAGATAACTCTAGCTTATGTCAAGTTAATGTAAGACTAGTCAGCATTTGCCTGTATGTGTGTTTCTATACTGTGTGCATGGCTGGCAACAGAGGCCAGAAAAGGGCATTGGATCTCCTAGGACTGGAGTTACAGATGGTTGTGAGCTGCCATGTGGTTGCTGGGAATTACACCCAGGTCCTCTGGAAGAGTGGCCACTGCTATTAACTGCTGAGCCATCTCTCCACACCCCCTTGTTTTATTTAATTAATTTAAGTCTAGGTGGCCACCATCTTGAATAGTAAAGTTCCAGAACATACCCTTTTTCCACAAAACATTTTTAAAAATAGCATATTCGACTCTGATAATTCAATTTTTTCATTTTATTTTATGTATATGAATGTTTTGCCTGCATGAATGTCTGTGTATCACACTGCATGCAATGCAAAAAGAAGGCATCCCAGATCCTCTGGGACAGGAGTTACTGAGCTGCCACATGAGTGCTGACAGGTCCCTCGGAAGGACAGACAAGTGCTCTTAACCACAGAACCATCTCTCCAGCCCTGACTTCAGTCATTTAAAATTATCTTCATTAATGGTGCTGTGTCTCATGGATTCAGCTGGTTGCTGGACATCTTTCTTGGCTCCCTTGCAGCTATCTTAATTCTGAACCTGTGTTGCCTATCTTCAGACATTCCCATTAGCTGTTTTACCCCAAATCATTAGCTTTTTCCTTTCTCATATGCACCACTGATTCTTCATTTCTTCTGCTTCTTAGCTTGATCTTGAGAGGGTTTTTTGTTGTTGTTTTGTTTTGTTTTGTCGATGTGTAGCCACTGGAACCCTCATGACCCACAGTCCTCTCAACTAGTGCCTGGTAACCAAATGACTTCTAATTAGTAGCTCTTCTTCCATTTAA